GATCACAAATCAGCCTGGCCCCCAAGAAATCAATCGCCAACATCGTCCAGGGCGAGGATGAGAGCCTGAAGGACTATATCACCCGGTTTAACGACCGAGTTCAAAATATGGAACAGTGCCATCCCGAGACACTGCTCGTCTCCGTGCAGGCCGGGCTGAAGCCGAAAACCCTGTTTAAATGGTCCCTGTGCCAGAACAAGCCGGCCACCTACCAGGAATTCCTCGCCAAGGCCCAAAATTACATTATGGCCAAGGAATGCTCGTCCATCCCAGTGTTGGACGCCACGACGAGCAAGGACAAGAGTAAAGACAAATCCGGGAAGCCCAGCAAGACGTTCGCCGAGGTGCGGGCCATGAGGAGGCAGAGAGCGGAGGAGCTCAAAGAAAGCTTCCAGGGCGTCTTCTCCGTGGGTGCCGCCGCGGTCTACGAGGAGATCAAAGCAAAGGGCTTGGTGCCAGATCCGAAACCCATGTTCACCGACAAAGACAAGGTGGACAAGTCCCGATATTGTGCCTACCACAAGGCACATGGACATAACACAGACCAATGTCGTAACTTGATCGCGGTGCTGCTCAAGCTGATTGACGATCCTCAAGTCAAGAAGTTCACTCACTCTGGTGAGAAGAGAAAGAAGGGAGGCCGCTTCGGGAACGACCTCGACAGCGACGAAGATGCCGACATGAACCCCCGGAGAAAAAAGCCACAGCAGGGCGCGCCTAATGAGATCCTAATGTTCAACTCGGCCCATCAAGGTGAGTCCGGAACCTCCGTAGGAAGAAAAAGAGATCGATCCCCGCGGCCGAGTACCGACCAGGCTGATTTCTCACCCCGGCGCGTAAACATAAGCCGAGGTGAATCCCTCCTTTCGAGGAGGCTGACAAAGGCCTACGCCCGGCAAGCTTATTATTTCGGGCAGAGAGTGATGCACGCCGGAAGCAGACCGGCGGCTGAGCCGACGCCCAATAAAATCTCCTTCACTGATGAGGATGCATTTCTGTTCGACCATCCCCACTCGGACACCCTGGTGATCACGGCCCCAATAATGGCTATCAAGATCCACCGAATAATGGTTGACACCGGGGCCTACGCGAGCATCCTGTATTACAGCACGTTCAAGGAGATGGGGATTGACAGGAAGGAAGTGCAACCTTGCCGGGAGCGGATCCAAGGGTTTAACGGTCAAATGACAACCCCCGTTGGTCAGGTAACGCTGCCGATCAGGTTCGGGGAGAAGGGGCAGCCCACGCGAACGATTCTGGAAACTTTCAAGATAGTGGACTGCCCGAGCGAATACAACGCCATCCTGGGCAGAACGGCTCTTTACAAGCTGAGGGGAGCCGTCTCAATTTTCCATTACTCCATCAAGTTCCTGAATTCGGACGGGGAAGTGACTCATCGGGGAGACCAGAGAGAAGCGCGGGAATGCGTCTTGACTATCCAGTGGAAATCAATGCGGCGAACTCCGCCCCTGAAGCCGGGACGAATATA